CCCCCCTACGGGGGGCTCCACTTTGTTAAGCCCAAACTACGTCCGAGGTGTGGAGTGGATCTCGCCTCACGTGAAAAGTCGCAAATCCATATGGAATCGTATATGTACTACAATTTACAAAGCACATGCTTAGATGAGAGGACAGATATAAGATTTAGAGTCCATCATTTTTCTCGAAAACTATCACTCGTAGAGTAAAAATGAATAGGACATAAAATATATATTTTAAAGAGATCTACAACTTTTGTTTAAAACATTTCTCAAAATTTTTAATATTTGTGTCTGAAAATTACATATAAATGGTCGACATTGTTTTTTTAATAACTTTTTAACCAACAACGAGCGACGGCTAAAACCTTCTGAGCGTTACTCAGGAGGGTAACCTTGACAACATATGTCAAGGTCAAGGTCATCGGAGCTGACTCCCCTATAGTGAACATTTACCGTATTTTTTTATTAAGAACTTTTTGAGTTATTGAAAGTTCCAATATTTTGACTTAAATTTTTTACAAGTGTCACGTCCAGCGAACATTTTTTCGCGGACGTGTTTAGTAACAGTAGTAATTGCCCACCCGATAGGTATCACTGGCGCGGCGCGGCTGTTAGCACGCGCGCAACACGTGATCAGCAGATATTCGCTCTCCTTCTTTTCCAAGTTTAACGGTAGAATTAAGCGATTAATTGACGATAGCCGAGGCAGCCACTATAATAGAAGAATCTTTGGCGCCTCCGCTTTCGCCCCAAATTAATAAGAAATTCATAATAACGCAATTAAACTAACAATAAGCTAACATCGACGATTTCCGTGGAAAGAATGAACTCCGCGGGAACCGTTGATCACAGCAGCGTATGAGGGCGCTATGCGCCTCCACCGCTAGCCACGATGGCAATCAGGGCCATTAACAACTGCTGAAAATGAGAGAAATATACCATTTATCGAAATACCGGCGAAGCTTCTAGAAGGTTCGATGTTTACGCGACTCGACGCGATATAGCGGAACTCTAGGGAGAAAAACAAGGGATCGGTATGCGGATTAATTATTCGGCGGCGCGCGGCAAATTTAAGATTTGATAAACGGCATAATGATGAACGGAGGCCCTT